TGAGGATGTGTATGTTCCATAATCCAGTGAGCTGGGGTAGTAATGTAAAGCATACAAAAAAGCAGCTTGTTGCAATGTAATAATATATAAATGCAGTATTATTGTGTTATGTGCACCAGCGGGTGATTGGTTATTTCTTGGGAGATTCTTGCTTGCTTGGGCGAGGCTGTCCAATTGCCAGGAAACTCCCTCAACGTGGGAGACTTGGGACCCCTGGTATAGGGAAAATGTTTTTAGAGATAATATTTCCAGATGATCAGCCCAGTGCGGTACTTTGCCCCAGCATAATGCTATAAAACCCCCCAAAATAAAACTATATGATCACATTACATTTGGTAGTTCTTTTTCTTTGACACAGGTGTTAATATCCATGACATCTAGGGGAAAGTCACTGAAGTTTTTTGCACCTCATCAGATGATACCTACAGATTGTCTGACATGCCTAATGGCAATATTGAATGATGGTAACTCACCTACTGAACTCAGTTCAAAGACAATCATTCTGCTTTTCAATCTCGGTAAGTAATACTACTGTATGTTAGTGTTAAATGATGATGCAGTTATAAAAATATAAAATATATATGTTCTCATGCGCAGTGAAAATTTTGAATCATGGTCATTTGGCTTCAATTATCAAAACATTTTGTACATGTTTATTTTTTATACTATAGTTTTTGGCCGAAATTGCACTTAACTTGCTGGTAACAAGCAAGCAAAATTGCATGCAAATAGCACCCTCCCCCTTTTCTAAACTATAGGCAAGGCTGCTAAATGAGATTTTGTATGGATTGTAATTTTCATGTGAATCTAAGCAAGAATTACAAGCTGTTAAAAGATTTTACTATTTCGGCAACATGAAAAAGTATGTTAAGTTAATATAGTGCCTTAATTGTTGCATTATTGCATTCGCAAGCTGCTGACAAAGACATCCGTGAAGCCCTTCAGAGTACATTTAATGTTAGTGCCTTACTCGCAGCATTCCTAAAACAGTACAGAGGCTCGCCTACTGATCAAGTAATCTTGCAGGTAAGAAATTCTAAGAAAGTCAAGTTTTTGTAAATTCACCAGACATACAAAAATCAAGCATAGTATTTTGGCATTTCAATTGCACATGTATGTCAAAGGTCAGTGTTTATAGACAGCTCTTCCAGCATATATTTTAATTTGTATT